AGAGTCTTCTCTTGTGTTGTTGGAAGAGGGTGTTTGCTATGACCAGTGCGTTCTCTTGGCAAAACTCTATTAGCCTTTGCCCTGCTTCAATCTGTACTCCAAGGCCAAATTTGCCTGTTACTCCAGGTGTTTCTTAACTTCCTACTTTTGCATTCCAGTCCCCTATAATGAAAAGGACATCTTTTTTGGGTGTTAGTTCTAGAAGTTCTTGTAGGTCTTCATAGAACTGTCCAACTTCAGCTTCTTCAGCATTACTGGTTGGGGCATAGACTTGGATTACCGTGATATTGAACGGTTTGCCTTGGAAATGAACAGAGATCATTCTGTCGTTTTTGAGATTGCATTCAGACATTATATTAAATAATGTCTTATTATATATAGAACCGTATAACAGGTTCTTCAAATCCTTATTTATTTTTTGCCTTTTTAAGTTATCAAATACTTAAGAAGTTTTGTTACTTCACACCATACGCAAAATTGAACTCAAAGGATCAGACGTTCAAATAGACGTATACATGAGTTAAAACTCTAAAATACATGAGCCTATCTTTATGACCCTCAATTAGGCAATATTTTCTTGGATATAACATCAAAAGCAAAAGCAACAAAAGAAAAAAATAGACAAATTGGACTTCCTCAAAACTAAAATTTTAGTGTTTTGAAGGACATCATCAAGAAAATGAAAGGAGGGACTTCCCTGGCAAGCCAATGGTTAGAACTCTGTGCTTCTACTGCAGGGTGCGTGGGTTTGATCCCTGGTCTGGGAACTAAATTCCTACATGCAACAGTAAGGACAGGAAACTAACTTTTTAAAAAAGAAAAGAAAATGGAAAGATAACCAGCAGAATAGGAGAAAATATTTCTAATATAATAATAAATATTCTAATATGTATTTGTCAAATACATCTGGATTATACAAAATATATAGACTATCTTAAAGCTTTAATAACCCAATAATAAAGACAAGTAACCTAATTTAAAAATGGTCAAAGGATATAAGTAGGCATTTCTATAAAGAAGATATGTAAGTAGCTAATACCTGGAAAGATGCTCAGTGTCATTTTAGCCATCAAAGCCATTTAGTGTTTTCAAAGCTCTGTGAGCTACCACCTTACACCCACGGGGTGGCTATAGTTAAAAAACAAAATGATGAAACAAAGCAAACAAACAAACAAACAAAACAGAGAATAACAAGTGTTGCCAAGGATGTGGAGTAACTACAATGCTCATTCACTATGGGAATATAAAACAGGGGAGGCAGCCACTGTGGAAAGCAGTCTGGCAGTTCCTTAAAAGGTTAAACGTAGAGTTGGTATCTGAATCAGCAATTCCCCTCCTAGGTATATACCTAAGGGAACTGATACATATGCTCATAGGCAAACATATACACAAATGTTTATAGCAGCATTATTTACAACAATAAAAAAGTGAAAACAGCCCAATTGATGAATGGATGAAGTGCATTATGTACATATGAAGGAATATTTTGTTTTGTTTTTAGTCAATAAGTCATGTCCAACTCTTTGGCGACTCTATGGATTGTAATCCACCAGGCTCCTCTGTCTGTGGGATTTCCCAGGGAAAAAGACTGCATTGGTTTGCCATTTCTCTCTCCGGGGGATTTTCCCAACCTAGGGATCAAACCCACATCTCCTGCATTGGCAGGCAGATTTTTTTACCCCTGAGCCACCAGAGAAGTCCATAGATTCTCATTAGTTATCTATTTAAACATAGTATCAGTTGTGTATATATGTCAATCCCAACCTCTCAATTCATTCCACCATCCCCCCTGGTACAGAACAATCTTTATTAGAGTTTGCTCAGGAAAGATAAGGCAGGGCAGGGTAAACACTTAGGACTGGCAATTTGAATAATCCCTGAGACTTTGGGGCACAGGAGCTGTCCCCAGTTATCTGGCATCTGGTCCTGGGTTGATTTGAGGCTGGGGAAATACTGGTTTGGTGAGTGAGGTTTAAACAAGGAGGTGGTTCAGGGTATGTGCTTTGGATCACAGAGAATATATAAACAATTTTGGCCATTGGTTTGGCCCTGTGACTAATGGATGCCAAATACTCAAATACAGAATCTAAGAAATCAGAACATAATAGAGACAGGATTGCCAAGTTCTTATCTACATGACAATTATTTCAAGGGTTCCAGAAATCCTTCATACAAAATCTTGAAATCATATTTAGTGCACAGTCACCACTGCCCATGAAACAAGGGTGAAGAAGTGGAAGAGAAAGTGACCTTGACTCTGGTACTCAGAAAAACAAGGGGAATTAGAGGAAAGTCATGAAAAAATATAAAAGCGGGCTGAAGAAATAGGACGCTAGTACTGTTAAATCGCTTCTTTTGCTTATTCCACTACAATAGAATCATACTTTATCAAGTGTAATTTTATGTTGACTTTGAAGCAAACAGCCTGAATACTAATTTCTCCAGCTCCACTAACTGTGAGACCTTGTACAAGTTACTTAACCTTTCTGAATCTTCTATGAAAGTAGGAATAAGAATTGCTGAAGTTTCCAGGAGTTGCTGATTTAATTTAATTTAATCACTTAATGGCAAATAGATGGGGAAACAATGGAAACAGTGACAGACTTTATTCTCTTGGGCTCCAAAATCTCTGCAGATGGTGACTGCAGCCATGAAATTAAGACACTTGCTCCTTGGAGGGAAAGCAATGATAAACCTAGACAGCATATTAAAAAGCAGAGACATTACTTTGCCAACAAAGGTCTGTCTAGTCAAAGATATGGTTTTTCCAGTAGTCATATATGGACGTGAGAGTTGGACCATAAAGAAAGCTGAGGGCCAAAGAATTGATGCTTTTGAACTGTGGTGTTGGAGAAGACTCTTGAGAGTCCTTTGGACTGCAGGGAGATCAAACCACTGAATCCGAAAGGAAATCAGTCCTGAATATTCATTGGAAGGACTGATGCTGAAACTGAAACTCCAATACTTTGGCCACCTGATGCAAAGAACTGACTCATTGGAAAAGACACTGATGTTGAGAAAGATTGAAGGTGGGAGGAGAAGGGGACAACAGAGGTTGGATGGCGTCACCGACTCGATGAACATGAGTTTAAGCAAGCTCCAGGAGTTTGTGATAGACAGAAAAGCCTGGCGGGCTGCACTCCATGGGGTCTCAAAGAGTTGGATGTGACTGAGCAATTGAACTGAACCAAAATATTTTAAAGTGTACATCTGAGAATTGATAAAATAAGCTATTGCTGGCCTGCCTGAGAAGTTGCTTCAGTTGTGTCTGACTCTGTGCAACCCTGTGGACTGCAGCCTGCCGGGCTCCTCTCTTCATGGGACTCTCCAGACAAGAATACTGGAGTGGATTGCTATGCTCTCCTCCAGGAAACCTTCCTGACCCAGGGATCGAACCCGCATCTCTGACATCTTCTGCATTGGCAGGTGGTTCTTTACCACTAGTACCACCTGGGAAGCCCCAAATTAGCTATTACGCTTTCATTTATTTAATTCTAAATTACTGTACATGTGACAGCCACCAAAAGACGATTGAGACCGGCCAAACAATTTGATTCAAATAATGAATAATGTAACTTCTTACTTGTGTAAATTCTCTTTTGTTCAATCTTGGTTTCATTGAGTCAGCAATATCTACTGGTAGGCAGCATGTTCCTAATTATTGAACAAAAGTTATTTGATAGTTAGTTTGGTTGTAACACATTCTCATTTTATATTCATATTATAGTACTCCAAAAGAACATAAATTCTTAATGTCAATCAATATTTATAATAGAATGAATGATACATAGTTGGGTGACATTCCGATTACTACAAGATTATAATTTTTCCTGGCTTCTATTTAGCCAAGGAACTCAAACATTTAAGAGCATGCCTACATTTTTAATGATCATGTCAAGATAAAGCAGAAATAAACAGGAATATCAATAGTATAAAAGACTACAAAAATATCTGTATTGGTTTATGCTAGAAGGTCCTAAAACACAAATGCTTTTTAAAGACTTTGTCTTTAATGTTTTTTTAATTAAATAAATAATATATGAATATGTTCTTTTGGTAAAAGATTCAAATAATACAAGCAGGAAATATAAGCAGGAAAACTTGAAAATGGACCATTTCCCCTCCCCTTTCCCCCACCAGCACTCTCACTCCCCTCTGCTCTAGAAGTAACCACTGTCAGTGGTTTGTTATCACTCTTTCAGCAACTTTTCTATGTATTTTCATATGTGTGTGTGTGTACTTGGTCACTCAGTCGTGTCTGACTCTTTGCGACCCTATGGACTGCAGTACGCCAGGCTTCCCTGTCCTTCATCATCTCCTGGAGCTTGCTCAAACTCATGTCCATCAAGTCGGTGACACCATCCAACCATCTTATCCTCTGTCAACCCCTTCTTCTGCCTTCAATCTATCTCAGCATCAGGGTCTTTTCTAATGAGTCGGCTCTTCACATTGGGTGGCCACAGTAGTGGAGCTTCAGCTTCAGCATCAGTCCTTCTAATTCAGGACTGATTTCCTTTATGATTGACTGGTTTGATCTCCTTGCTGTCCAAGGGACTCTCAACAATCTTCTCTAACACCACAGTTTAAAAGCATCATTTATTTGGTGTTCAACCTTCTTTATGGTCCAATTCTCACATTCATACATCCTGCTGCTGCTGCTGCTGCTAAGTCACTTCAGTTGTGTCCAACTCTGTGCGACCCCATAGATGGCAGCCCACCAGGCTCCCCTATCCCTGGAATTCTCCAGGCAAGAACACTGGAGTGGGTTGCCATTTCCTTCTCCAATGCATGAAAGTGAAAAGTGAAAGTGCAGTCGCTCAATCCTGTCTGACTCTTAGCAACCCCATGGACTGCAGCCTACCTGGCTCCTCCATCCATGGGATTTTCCAGGCAAGAACACTGGAGTGGGGTGCCATCGCCTTCTCCCATCCATACGTGACTACTGGAAAAACCATAGCTTTGTACAGAACTTGGTCAGCAAACATACACACACACACACACACACACACACATGAAAATACATGGGATTTCCCTGATGGCTCAGACAGTAAAGAATCTGCTTCAGTTTGGTTCGATCCCTGGGTTGGGAAGATCCCCTGGAGAAGGGAATGGCTACCCACTCCAGTATTCTTGCCTGGAGAATCCCACGAACAGAAGAGCCCAGTGGGCTACAGTCCATGGGGTCGCAAAAAGTCAGACAAGGCTTAGCAACTAAGCAGCAGCAGCAACAAAATGTATATATACACATATATCTTTTGATTCTCTATGCATAAATATTATCATATTGATCTGCAACTTGCAAGTTGGTTTTTTTTTTTTTTTTGCTTCACCACTCATCTTGCAGATCTTTTCAAATAGTATGTAGAACTCAGGTGGCAGATTTGGGTTGGAAATATGATTGACAGTCATCTGAAGTCATGGGTTTAAATAAGAAAACCCGAGGAGTGAGTGCAATTCCTGCACAGTAAAGACTACCCCTCTTGCCAGACATTTGAGTAGGTAAAAAAAATTGCTTAGAATAATTTTGAGTCTGGATTCTATTCTATTTTACATATAAACACAGAGTATATTTTTTTGCTGTTGAATTTTCCAAGAATGTAACTACTATCAAATTTGAGAATTGTCTTTTGATTCATGTGGAACTTTGCCAAGAGCTGGTCAGCATTTTAGAAAATTATATAATTAAAAGAAATATTATAAATTGTATCTGAACTCCAATATAATATACCCACATTAGTCTACATTTGTAGTTTTTCTGTGCATGGGGATTCTACATACATATACAAATATATATATGTATATATATACAAATCCATTTCCATTCATTTTGCTCTTATTTCAAAATGTCAAATACAAAGAGTGTAATTGATTGTACATAATTTTACTTTTCTTATATCTAAACATTCATTATAAAAATGAAGAAGTGAAAATGTTAGTCACTTAGCTGTGTCCGACTCTTTGCGACCCCATGGACTGTAGCCCGCCCAGCTCCTCTGTTCATGGGATTCTCTAGGCAAGAATATAGGAGTGGGTTGCCATTTCCTTCTCCAGGGGATCTTCCCGACCCGGGGATTGAACCCAGGTCTCCTGCATTGCAGGTGGATTTTTTAATCATCTGAGTCACCGGGAACAGATGTCTGACTACTCCATTTGTCTTTCAGTGAAGTTGTAGCCAAGCAACAACTTGTGAAATAAGGTACATTTAATTTTCTTATATCTTTCCTTGTATTTCTCCATATCACAGCTATGACGTTGTATCTTTCTTTTAAAATTCTGTGAAAGTAAGTAATATTTTCTAGGAATTTGATAGGATAGTGAGAGCTTACAGTGAGCAATGTTGGATTTGTGATCTCTGAAGAAGATTTAGCTTTGGAACCAGAGACCAGGCTTGCCCACTCAGCGCTCTTGTGTGGCAGAAGTTTTATTACAGTGAAAAACGGGCAGAGAAAGCTTCTGACATAGACAACAGAAGGTGGGGGGGAGAGTGCCCCACTCTCTAGTCTTTAGCAAGGGAATTATATACTTTTTAAATTAGTCATTACAATAAATGAAAAGAATGTCTCAAGGTTGTAAAAATTTTACCAGATCTACCCCTACAATTTACATTTTAGGATAACAGGATTAGAATTTAACAATAGAAAGATCCTACCAGACCCACTCCCATAATATACATTCTAAGATACCAGGATTAGTCAGAAGGTTTTCAGGAAGGAGAGACTGTCCTTAAGCAGAATACATTGTTGTTATATAATCCCTAGTACACAGTTCAAACTGAATTTGTTGTGTAATCATCAGTTCCTGGCTTAAAGGAAAAAAAAAAAGTTTTATGTGACTAAGACTAAGAAATGTAGACAAAAAAAAGAGTTTGTCCTTTCCTCGTCCTTGAGAATTCCAGACCCCTTTCTCTTCCTCAGAGACCCTGGACTTATCAACCTGCCTAGGAACTGACTCTCTCAATAGTAACTGCTGCTGCTAAGTCACTTCAGTCGTGCCGACTCTGTGCAACCCCATAGACGGCAGCCCACCAGGCTCCCCCGTCCCTGGGATTCTCCGGGCAAGAACACTGGAGTGGGTTGCCATTTCCTTCTCCAATGTATGAAAGTGAAAAGTGAAAGTGAAGTCGCTCAGTCGTGTCCGACTCTTAGCGACCCCATGGACTGCAGCCTACCAGGCTCCTCCATCCATGGGATTTTCCAGGCAAGAGTACTGGAGTGGGGTGCCATTGCCTTCTCCGCTCAATAGTAAGGGTTATTACAAAATAGTTTAAATAAAATGGGCCACTCGACTAAAAGAATTAAAATTCACTGACTGCGTCTCTGCTGTTTTACATTCTCCATCTGGGAAGAGCAAAGGAGCTTGAGAACATCTCTGAGAGCTTTGATAACATCTACCTCAATACTGGCTCTTCATCTTAACGCAGCATTCTCCCCCTCCAAAAAAGAGAGAGAGAGAAATAAACGCTGTAGTAAGAGGCAGGCTTACCAAGCTGCAAATCTGGATTTTGAAAAAATTCATGAAGAACGTTCTGAATCTGCAAATCAAAGAGACCATATATTACTTTTCAATTACCATATATTTAGTATTTCAGAATAAAAGCCATCTGTAGTCTTTCAGTTTAAGTCCTGAGTAATTCTTCTGACCCAGGCACAGAAATAGTAAGAGTTAATATTTAGTTTATAGCATATTTCAAAGTATATAAAATACTTTTGCATGTATTTCCTCAGTGATTTTCAACCTTTTTGTGTGGGAACTAGGATGCTGATAGGATTTCATTTGCCCACTCCAAGGAAATTTCTAACAATCCTTGGACACTGGGCATGATGAAGCTAAGGCACCTTTGGCAACAAGCTTGGCAATCCAAAGAATTCTCTGTAATTCCTCATTCGTCAATGACAAAATAAAATTTCAGAGCTCCTCTTGATCTATTTAAAAAAAATAATAATACTATTGTTCAGATCAGTTTTATGTTCACAGCAAAATTAACCAGAAGATACAGAGTTTCCATATACTCCCTGCCCCCACTCCATCACATACATGGCTTAACTCTACTATCAACATCGCCAGTTACAAGGGTACATTTGTTACAACCAATGAACCTACACTGTAAGCTCATAACCCAAAGTCCATAGTTTATGTATAACTATGGGTTTTGAAAATTATATGATGACATGTATCCATGATTATGTAATACAGAATTGTTTCATCACCTTGAAACTCTTCTGTGCTCTGTCTATTCATCTCTGTCCACACCCCATCATTCCTGTCTTCATAACTTTACTTTTTCTGGAATGTCATAGAGTTAGACTCATATGGTATATAGCCTTTTCGGATTGGCTTCTTTCACTTAGTAATATGCATGTAAGGTTCTCCCACATCTTTTCATGGCTTGACAGCTCATTTCTTTTTAGCACAGAATAATATTCCACTATCTGGATGTACCACATTTATTTATTATTCACTCACTGAGGGATGGCTTCCCAGGTGGCGTTGGTGGTAAGGAATTCACCTGCAATGCAGGAAACACAAGAGACGCAGATTCAATCCCTGGGTCAGGAAGATCCCCTGGAGGAGGGCATGGCAACTTGCTCCAGTATCCTTGCCTAGAGAATCCCATGGACAGAGGAGTCTGGTGGGCTACAGTCCAAGGGGTCAGAAAGAGTTGGACACGACTGAAGCAACTTTCACACTGAAGGACATCTTGGTTGCTTCCAAGTTTTGCTAATTGTTAATTATGCAGTAAACATCCGTGTGTCAGTTTTTGTGTGGACATGAATTTCCAACACCTTTGGGTAAATACAAAGGATCCTCTACCAGGGCTCAATGATATGGTAAGAGTATGTTTAGTTTCATAAGAGACTGCCAAGCTGTGTGCCAAAGTGGCCATAACCATTTTGTATTTCTACCAATAAAGAATGAGAGTTTCTGTTGCTGCACATCTTTGCCAACATTTGGTGTTGTCAATGTTCTGGATTTTGGTCATTCTGATAGGTGTGCAGTGGTATCTCATGGCTGTTTTCAGTTGCATTTGCTTAATGACATATGTGGAACGTCTTTTCATATGCTTGTTTGCCATCTTTGGTGAAGTGTCTGTTCAGGTCTTTTGTCCATTTTTAAATCTGTTATTTGTTTTCTTATTGTTGATTTCAAGAGCTCTTCGTATATTTTGGATAATTGTCCTTTATCAGCCATGTCTTATGTAAACATTTTCTTCCAGTCTGAGGCTTGTCCTCCTTGGTGTATTTTTAGCAATTCACTTTAAATTGAAAATATGCTTGGTATTGTATATAACCAACAATTATTCTCACATCTACATATACCTCTGTGTATGTGTGTGCTCAGTAATGTCCAACTCTGTGAACCCATGGACTGTAGCCCGCCAGGCTCCTCTGTCCATAGAATTTCCCAGGCAGGATACTGGAGTGGGTTGCCATTTCCTACTCCAGGGTATCTTCCCAACCCAAGGATCACACCCAAGTCTCCTGCGTCTCCTGCATTGGCAGGCAGATTCTTTACCACTGGTGCCACCTGGGAAGCACCTACATATACCTAAGAGAACATATTTATCTCTTAGAGCACAGTTATTTTCTGGAGCTAATGACATGGTCTTTTAGGGAATTCCCTGGCAGTCCAGTGGTTAGGACTCGGCACTTTCACTGCTAAGGGCCCAGGTTTGATCCCTGGTCAGGGAATTAAAATTCCATAAGCTGCATGGTGCTGCCCACACCACCACTCCACACCACAAAAAGGACATGGTCGTTTAGTTCACGGAAGTAATTAGTCACACACATACAAAAAACAAACAGAAGCTATGTCTGTCTATAATGAAAAGTTTGTGAAATTCAGCCAGAGTTAATATTTTGGAAATCTACCTAGAATTTTCTTTTTAATGTTCAAGAGAAAATTGAAGAAACTTACTTTCATGGCCTAGATTTACCTCAGCAAGACTGAAAATTTAGAGGGAAGCTTCTAGCACTCTAGAAGCACTCTAGATTGCTCAGTATCTAGCAATCACTCTTACCACCCACTCCACCGTACCCTTCACAGGTGCCCTCTTCCTTACCACGACCATCGGAATCATTCCTTTGGGGTCTAGAATCCACTCATTGAACTGCTCCTGCAGAGCCTGTTTCCGTGCGTTGGCCACCTTGGCTTTGACATCATTTATGTATCCTTTTTGTTCTCGTTTCTGTTTAATATTCTCTTTTATCTTAGATACTCTGAAGAACGTAGAAATAGAAGACATGGTGTGTTAAGATTATTGGATTTGACTCAGATTGTTCAAATGGCAGAATTCAGGGTTCAGAGCCTCATTTAAATTTTTGACCTCTCTTTTTCCATGAGATCTTCATTTCGGCCTGCAGTGATTCCCTCCTTCCCCTAGCACATACTCAATTTGGCATTTATCATAAGCTGTCTGCTACTATTACTTGACTTTTATAGAGGTCAGCATTATTTTACTCAATGAAATACTATATTTAAGAAGTACTAAGAAGAGCCCTAGAAGCTGCCATGTATAAAAGCAAGATTGAATACACTAAGGCCTTAGAGTGGTGGGCCTCTTTTTTCCCTGGACACAGAAATTATCGTGGAAAGACTCTGATTCCAAGTCTAGGTAGGGAGACTGGAAACTGCATGTATAACAAGCATCTCAGGTAGTTCTAATCCCTTGGATCCAACTTTTGATTTCTGTCCAGGAATATTTATTGCCAATTTCTTTTATCTGGCCAGAGTCAAATACTTTTGACAGCCCCTAAGCAGAATAGTTACATTCTACTCAGACAGAGTTGCATCACTCAGGTTGAAAATGGGGGAAGAACTGTGGTTTTAGTCATCCCTATGGAGAGAGGTTCGTGACATTGTACAGGAGACAGGGATCAAGACCATCCCCATGGAAAACAAATGCAAAAAGACAAAATGGTTGTCTGAGGAGGCCTTACAAATAGCTGTGAAACGAAGAGAAGNCTAACTACCTAACAGAAAAGACTGTAATGCTGGGAAGGATTGGGGGCAGGAGGAGAAGGGGATGACAGAGGATAAGATGGCTGGATGGCATCACCGACTGGATGGGCATGAGTTTGAGTAAACTCCGGGAGTTTGTGATGGACAGGGAGGCCTGGCGTGCTGCGATTCATGGGGTCACAAAGAGTCGGACACGACTGAGCGACTGAACTGAACTGATGTTTATCATCCATATTAGGACTTCAAAACCACCAGATGGATTTTGACTGAAACAACAAAATGATTCAGGATAATAAAAGTAGCTTCTGGTTTCAAACAGAATTGTCAAATAAGGTTTGAGTCGGGTCTTCTCATGGCTCAACTGGTAAAGAATCTGCCTACAATGAGGGAGACCTGGGTTCAATCCCTGGGTTGGGAAGATCCCCTGGAGAAGCGAAAGGCTACCCACTTCAGTATTCTGGCCTGGAGAATTCCAAGTACAGCCCATGGATTGCAAAGAGTCAGACACAACTGAGTGATTTTCACTTTCTTTCATTTTTCAAAGAAAAGACTAAGGCAATCTGACAGATTTTGAAGTGCAAAAGACTTCTCAGTAGGAACTGGTAAATTGGAGAACTAATAATTCAAGAGGGATTAATACAGGGACTTCCCTGTAGCGCAGATGGTAAAGAGTCTGCCTGCAATTCAGGAGATCCAGGTTCAATCCGTGGGTTGGGAAGATCACCTGGAGAAGGGAATGGCAACCCACTCAGGATTCTTGCCTGGAGAATCCCATGGACAGAGGAGTCTGGCAGGCTACAGTCCATGGGGTCCCAAAAAGTCAGATATGACTGAGCAACCAACACTACTAATATTCCAAGAGGGGCTTCCCAGGTGGCTCAGTGGTAAAGAGCCTGCCAATGCTGGAAATGCAGGTTCAATCCTTGGGTTGGGGAGATCCCCTGGAGAAGGAAATGGCAACCTATTCTTGCCTGAGAAATTCAATGGACAGAGGAGCGTGATGGGGCTACTGTCTGTGGGGTCACAAGAATTTGACACAATTTAGTGACTAAACAACAACAAACAATAATCGAAGAGAAACAATATAAATCTAAATCATTACTTTATGCCCATATAAGGACTTCAAACTTCTGTAAGAAAAGATTTCAAAAATAAAATTTCAAGTTTGAAAATAAAAACAGGCAAGTTTTTTCCTTATAATTTGTTACAATATTGCTTTTGTTTTGGTTTGGTTTTTCTGGCCTCTGGCGTATGGGATCTTGGACTTTAGCTCCCCAACCCGTGAACCGGATAGCCAGGGAATACCCCCAGGCAAGTTGTTTAATAGTGCAAAAGGGCTGGTTTCTGAACTGCTGGGAGATAATTAGCACTTTAAAGGAAGTGCTAAATTCCTCTGATGTGATGACTGACCAGCCAAACCTCCCCACTTGTCTCAGAACCCTCAGCCTTTTCTCAGCTGGCTCTCCTCTTCCACTATCTTTCTCCCTCTGCTGCTTTATCTGTCTGCCTCTCCCTTTCCCACTCTCTCCCTCTCTTTATACAGCGTGCGTGCATGTTCAGTAGCTCAGTGCTGTCCCACTGTCTGACTCCTCTGTCCAGGGGATTTTCCAGGCAAGAACACTGCAGTGCGTTGCCATTTTTGCTCCAGGGTGTCTTCCCACCCCAAGGATTGAACCCTGGTCTCCTGTTGTTGTTGCTGTTCAGTTGCTCAGCTGTGTCCGACACTTTCGCTGCTGCATGGACTGCAGCATGCCAGGCTTCCCTGTCTGTCACCATCTCCTGGAGTTTGCTCAAACTCATGTCCATCAAGTCAGTGATGCCATCCAACCACTCTGTCCTCTGTCATCCCCTTCTCTTCCTGTCTTCAGTCTTTCCCAGCATCAGGGTCTTTTCCAAAGAGTTGGCTCTTCTCATCAGGTGGCCAAAGTACTGGAACTTCAGCTTCAGCATCAGTCCTTCCAGTGAATATACAGGATTGATCTCCTTTAAGATTGACTGGTTTGATCTCCTTGCAGTCCAAGGGACACTCAAGAGTTTTTTCTAACACCACAGTTCAAAAGCATCAAATCTTTGGCTCTCAGCTTTCTTTATGGTCCAGCTCTTACATCCATCCATGACTCCTGGAAAAGCCATAACTTTGACTGTATGGACTTTGTCGGCAAAGTAATGTCTCTGCTTTTTAATATGCTGTCTAGGTTTGTCATAACTTTTCTTCCAAGGAGCAAGTGTCTTTTAATTTCATGGCTGCAGCCATCATCCGCAGTGATTTAAGAGCCTAAGAAAACAAAGTCTCTCACTGTTTCTGCTTCTATTTGCCATCAAGTGATTAGACTGGATGCCATGATCTTAATTTTTTTTTAATATTGTGTGTACATCTTCTTATTTATTTACTTACGCCTGTGCTGGGTCTTCATTGCTACACGCTGTCTTTCTCTAGTTTCGGGGAGTGGGGGCTACTCTTTGATGTGATGGGTGGGCTTCTCNGGGTCTCCTGAGTCTCTGGCATTGGCAGGTGGATTCTTTACCACTTTGCCACCTGGGGAGCCTCTATATAGCTCTCTCCTCTATTACTGTCTTTCTTTCCTGATTCTCTATTCTGTGTATTTCTTAGAGCTTTTTCTCATTATTCATTCATTCACACTCACTGAGTTTCTTATTCACTCATTACACATTTACTGAGCACCTACTCTAGATTCTGCCATTGTAAAGCTTAGGGTCCAATGCAGAACAGGTAAGTAAGTGACGTAGTGTAATAAGTACTGGGTGTCCCCAGATTCTCATGTGTATCAGTCAAAATGGATTAACAAAAATTGAGGTTCTACCACAGTTCCACTTGCCTGAAAAGCCTTCCTCCCTCTCTTCTTTTGGCTAGATCCTCCACATCCTTTAGGTCTCAGTTCAGACATCATTTCCTCCCTCTTAGTAATGTCCACATTTAGAAACAGAACCTGGTTTTGTGCTTCAGGGCCATTGCACAGGAGGCTTTAAATACAATCCAGATGGATTTTTAATTTAAAATGTAACTCATTCAGGGACTGAATAAAATTTCTCTGTTGTGACCTGCATTATCTCAAGAGGTATCTAATCAACAGAATTTCAGGGCCTCCAAAACTCTTAACTTAGGGTATTGTAGTATAGGATAGACATAACCTGTAAGCAGATTCTAAGTATAAATCCACAAACCACTTTTAAGGAGATGGGAAAGGAAAAAAAAAAAACAAAAGCAAAACTACAATGTGGAAAAATGCAAAAATTGTCACAAATTCTTTCCATTCCTGTAAGCATGTCTGTTTGTATGCAATGTAGTTTTGCAGCTCCTCGCATTAAGAAATAAAGTCTATTTCTGCATCTCGTGTGTCTGGCTGTGGCCATGTAACTTTCTTTGGCCAATGGACCATTAGCAAACACAGGAAGCAGAAAGTTGAAAAGTTCTATAAATTATATCACAATAAAACTTATAGAACAAAAATTGTATCACAATAAAACTGGGGGGAAAGGAGGAATCAACGTTCTTGAACACTGGGGTTTGCTCTGTTTCATTAAACGTAAGAGCCTCTGCACCACCACCTGGGAATAAGCCTAGGCTAACCTGCTCCACTGCTTTACCAGATGACTATCAGTTGCTATTTTACTGTAATGTATGAGTGATACCATGTGGAGCAGAGATGAGCCATGAGCCCAGTCCAAAGTTACCAACCCATAAAATCATGAGCAAATAAATGATTGTTTATTTAAGCCACTCAGTTTTGAGGTATTTTGTTACACAACCAAAGCTAGTTAATAAAACAGTCTCCACAGTACTTCCCCGGTGGTCCAGTGGTTAAGAATCTGCTTTCCAATGCAGGTGATGTGGGTTTGATCCCTGGTCAGGGAATTAAAATCCCACATGCCTTGGGGCAGTGAGGCCCGTGTGCCACAATTAGAGAAGCCCTGGCACGCTGCAACAAAGACCAAGCGCAGCTGAAAAAACTGTCTCCCCATCTTAAATGTTTTGAGATCTTCAAGAGTACAATATAAATCTAACTACTTAAAGAATAGAAGTAAAAATGCTTTCTTGCCCTAATTGTCACAATCCAAATTCTATCCATCCATTCAAGCTGTGTTAGGAAAATCTTCCACTTAGAGAATTTGCCTAGATTATATCAAAACTCAATGTTGTATTTCATAAAAACTGGCTCTAGCCAGCTTAAGTGGATAACAGACCATGAACTTTGAGCGACCCCAGTACACAAGACCATTGCTAGACCTAACTGAAGCC